CTTCTGTTGGAGGCCCCGGAGCTGGAAGCAGCAGCGCACACAAGGAGCACCCACCCCAAGGTTTGTCTGACAGGCAGAACAAAAGGGCAGGGGAAGAAGGCAAACCCGGCTCTTTCTCTGACAAGCCTGGCTTAATGTGCCGATCAGAAAGCTTCATGCTCATCAGACCCTGCCCACACTCACAGTTCGTCGGGGCAGTTGATGGGCTGCGCGATGCGATAGCCGTCCTTGAGGTACGCGCCCATCTCGAAGGGGTCGATGTCCACGTACGGCGTCTGGCCCAGGGTCATCAGCTCCCACAGCGTCACTCCGAAGGCCCACTGCGAAGGAACAGTGCAGGGGTTAACAAACCAGGCTGAACCTTGGCAGCTCAGAATCAGTCTGAGTTGAATCAGTCAGAAATAAGAGCAGGCACAGAAAGAAAGCTTTATGTAAATTCCATATATAGCCACGTGGCAACACGTTGTCTTGAGCAGGGCTAATTAAGAATCCCAGAACTGGTGTTAAGTTGCCCAGAGAAGCTGTGGCTGCCCCATCCCTGGAAGAGTCCAAGGCCAGGTTGAACAGGGCTTGGAGCAACCTGGGCTAGTGGAAGGTGTCCCTGCCCATGGGTGGTGGAAGTGGATGAGCTTTAAGGTCCCTTCCAGCCCAAATCATTCCATGATTCTATGAAGTTGAACTAAAGTCAAAATCTTTAGCTGCACTAAGATATCAGTGCTAAAAATCATGTGTTTACTGCATTTTTTATTATGACACTTCAGAACACTTAAATCTAAAGGATACTGAACACTGAATCACTGTTTAACATAAAATTGGTATTTTTTTCTACATTTCAGTTCTTCAAAGTGCCTCAAAAATCATCAAAAAAGGTCTGTGAAATTCAAGGGGTCAGAAGGGCAGACTGAATGAGACCATCGTTCTTTTGAATCCAAGTCATCTGTATATTTGGAGGGTATGCTCACAATTAGGACTCAGGAGAAAAAAAATAAGGATTCCATCCCAGTAAACCTGACAGCTGGATCAGCATTCAACACATCCAGCTGACACTCCTTGCCAGGAGGAGCTTAGAAGGATGAAAAGTCCATCCATCAATCCACACACAAGCAGAGTAGAAGGAAAATGATTTATGAGCTGGTATCCAGAGACCCAGGAGACCAGAGATGGAGCTGATACTGCACACTGGTGACTCACTGCTCAGGTTACACGTGCTGCATGCATCATGATTTATTAAAAAAGGGCAGAATTCTGCAAGGCTCACAAGATTCTTGTTTTAATCAAGAGGAATCCCACCACTCCCCTTGATCAAAGCCTTAAGGAAGGGATGTTTTTGGATGGGAAGGTCTGGGAATGGCAGAGGCACAGACACAGCTCTGAACAGCCACCAAAGGAAATAAAATCCCTTTTTAAGTTAAGAAATGAGGGACAAGTGGTGGACACGGACATGAGATGAAGGGTGAGTCAAGCAAAACCACTCTGAGAATGCCCCTCCTGTAATTCTGTAAGGAACTGCCTAAAAATGGCACGAAGAGATTCAAGAGCTCCGTGTCCAACAGTGGGAAAACCACGGAATCACAGTTCAGCAGGAATAGTGGTTTGTTTTCCTACGCTCTGGCTGCCTGATAGAGCTGCTGGCTGGGGAGGAACACATTAATGGGAAGGTTTCAAGCCAGCAAAACCATTGGGAAGAAAGTCATCCAAAAAGCAAGGCTGGAACATCTCGGCAGACACCACCCACACTGTTTGTACCACATGTCATCACCCATTCACCTCTTACATGCAGGGGGATCACTGGATTTGTTCCTTGCAAGCAGACAAAAACATATGACATCAGATTTCTGTGAACAGCATCCAGGTAGATGCAAAGCTGATATTTAGGGCAGATGGTATTTTCTAAACACGCAGAAAAACTGCCCGTTTTTGAACTCTACAACTCTCAGCTGGCCACATCTCTGCAGTTAAAACTGTGTATTAGAAGGGGAGTGGCATTTATACTCATGTAAGGGAAAAAGGAGTTGTGTTAAAATGGGAGGAACAGATGCTGAATTGCACTGTTTATGATACTGAGGTTCCTTCATCCGAATAGAATTCCACATCTCACTGCCACTGTTACATAAGCTTTCATTTCCAAGTCCAGTCTTCAAAAACAGGGCTTTTGTGTTCCAGAGTTAAAATAATAATAATAATAAAAAAAAAAAGTAAATCAACATTTGCTCCAGCCCATTTAGCACTCTAAAAACATGCTCTTACAGGCAGCTCCGATTTCCTCTTCTGTCTTCAAGTTTGGTACAACACAAACCCCGTACGCATTTTCCAATGAATACAGAAGTACTTGTGGAGCAGAGCTGGCACCTTCCCTTCCTTCCTCGTTTTTCTTGTTGTTTATGTGGTTTGAGCACTAATACAGAGACCACGAGGGGAAAAAAACCAACCAGAACTTCTCAGATGTTTTCCAAACCAGACCAGAGCGCTGCGCCAGACAGGATGCACCCAAGGGTGCTGAGGGAGCAGGCTGAGCTCAGTGCAGTGCTGCTCCTACCATCTTTGAAAGGTCACCTCAACCAGGGCAGGTTCTTGAAAAGTGGAATAAAGACACCCTCGGGAAGAGATGGGAGCCAGGGAACTACAGGCCAGACAGTCTAACATCAGCTCCTGTGTATGTTTGGAGCACGGTATCCTGAAGTCACTTCTATGCATATGAAGCATAAAGGAGTGTGGGAAGAGTCAGCATGGATTTATGAGGGCTGTGGATTTATTTTAAGCTGTGCCTGACTAGTTCTCTGCTGAGCAGACAGTGTGTCAGTGGACACAGGGTGAGCCAAGGATGTCCACTTTGACTTCCAGAGGGTGGTTGGGCACTGACCAGGCTCCCCAGGGCAGTGGGCACGGCCCCAAGGCTGCCAGAACTCAAGGATTGTTTGGACAACGCTCTGAAGGACAGGGTGGGACTGCTGGGGTGTCCTGTGCGGGGCCAGGAGCTGGACTGGATGATCCTTGTGAATTTAACTGTCTTTTCTGCCAACACTTCCAAGGGAACAGGATGCAATGGGCAATTTTTCTGTGCACAAGGGCCTGACTGCTCTCAGAACCATCTGCCACAAGCAGCAGATGCAGGGAGCAGGAGCAGACACTGTTCTAAACAAGCCACCATTATCTATCCAGTGCCATGGATCCACTGTCATGGAGCCACAGCTCAGGGGTCCCCAGCATAACAAAGATGTGGTGCTGCTGGAGCGAGTCCAGAGGAAGCCACAGAGATGCTCCAAGGGCTGGAGCCCCTCTGCTCTGGAGCCAGGCTGGGAGAGCTGGGGGGGTTCACCTGGAGGAGAGAAGGATACAGAGATCTGAGAGCCCCTTCCAGTGCCTAAAGAGACTCCAGGAGAGCTGGAGAGGGACTGTAGACAAGGACTTGCAGGGACAGGCCAAGGGGAAATGGCTTCCCACTGCCAGAGGGCAGGATTTGATGGGATATTGGGAAGAAATCCTTCCCTGGGAGGGTGGGGAGGCCCTGACACAGGTTGCCTAGAGCAGCTGTGGCTGTCCCTGGATCCCTGGCAGTGTCCAAGGCCAGGTTGGACGGGGTTTGGAGCAACCTGGGCTAGTGGAAGGTGTCCCTGCCCATGGCAGGGGGTGAAACTGGATGAGATTTAATGTCCCTTCCAACCCAAACCATCCTGAGATTCTCCAATGGCTGAAAAAAGGGAAGAATGTCAATAAACTACATTTACAAAATGGAAGAGGAGGGAAAAAACTCACCACATCGCTAGCACTGGAAAATTCATTGTTCACCAGGCTTTCCAGAGCCATCCACCGAACTGGCCTGTTCTCATTATCCCCCAGGCAATGGTAATCCATGGGAAACAGGTCCCGGGACAGCGCATTGTCCGTGATCTTCACCTGAAGTGCATCGTCAATGCTAATTCAGAGAGAACAGGAGCACTCAGCAAACCTGGAGTCACAGCTTTACAGCACATATTTCTGCTCAGCCTTAAGTTTCAGACTCAGGATTTAACTGGGGAATGGTAATCCACATTTCAAGGCGTTCATTCTCCTGCACCAGGACACGCTTATTCCGTGATTAGCAAATATTATCACAGAACCTATTTGTTCTGTGCCAACAGATAAGCACCAGAGAAATCAGCAGGCTTGATTAAATAAAATCAAACATTTACAAGTGAAAAAAAATACACTTAAAGCCAACAAGGAACTCCCTTAAACTATTCCTGCTCCCTTGGAGATCCCCTACCAGAGCAATTAAACACCTTTCAGCACTTCTGTGGTAATAATGGGGCAAGGATTAAAGTAAAGAAAGATCCTGTAATATCTTCTAGCAACCAATATTTTTTGTGGTCTAAAAGTGTGTCTCCAATCAAGCAATTTGGTAAGATATTATTTATTCCACTCAACAAGAGAGATTGATGCTTGTCAGAAATAGGACACCAAGGGAAACTTACTTTTAATCAAGAAAAGATGACTCAAAATAACACAGAGAAATTGCCCCCTCTGGGATGTAATTCAGACTGAATTTACAGAAGTGTGTAATACAGTTCAATGTTCTCATAAACAGTTGATCTCAGAATATGGGAAAGATGTTGGCTTCAACATCTCATGACAAAAATACAGAAGTAACATTGGGTTGGGGGAGACGGTAACAAATCGGTGTTTGTTGTCTGCTCATCTTGTCAATTATTTACTTTAATGAGAAAAAAATAAACAAAAATGCTCAATTTGTGTGTTTCCCCCTTTGCAGTCTCTGATACCTTCTTATTTATCCCATTTCTATGCATTTTCAGGCCAGTTCATTATCCTCAAAATTTACAGCCCAGGGAATTTCCATATCTAATTATTGTTGAGTTCAGAGAAATTCCTAGAAGACTTATCTATAAACAAACTTAATCCAAAGGGCAATTTCCCAGTGATTAGAGAGTTCTGACTTGTGCAATCCTCCTGTCCACTGGAATTGGACCTGACTGTGCCATGGACACATGAGACCAAAAGTATTTTGTCCCTTAAACTTGCCAACACCAATGCAACCCTGGCTCCCTTCCCAAAATTAGGACATGGATCTGACACACTTGGTACCAGCTTCTCCCAGCCTTTCATCACACAGGAGCAGACCTGGGGATTGAAGGAGGGGCAGGGGGAACAAAGCCCTTCCAGGGATCCCAGCCACTGGCATCTCCTTCTCTTTCCAACCCTAAAGCTCCAGGGGATTCCCTGATGTTTGTGATCTTTGCTCCCTGTGGTAGCACTTCTTCCTCAACGTGTTCACCAGTAAGGAAAAGCAATAGGAATTAGGAACAGTATCTCCCAAGAAGTCCATCCCACTGAGCATCCTTAGGGAGCACAAGAGCAGGTAGAGGGTGAGCAGAGATCATGTGAGGGATTTGGTTCATAGAAAGCCACCAAACACCTCCATCTCTACATTTTGAGGGTGTATTCCAGCCAGAAGATGGTCTCAAACCCTACTCTGGTATTTCTACCATTCCAAAGCTCATTTATATTCATCCATCACTTGGGAACTAAAAAAATCTGCCAATGACCAAAGCCATGAAGCCATTACCTAAGGGTAAAAAACCAAGAAAACCAACATCATACAAAAATCCATCACTGATAAATTGTCAGAGATATTCCAAGTTCTTATTAAAGCTGAAGGGAAGCTTTAATTCTTTTCAAGACTTAAAAAAAAAAAAAAGTGATAGACAAACCCAGCAGAAGTATTTACAGTGGGGATGTTCTGCTTCCTTTAAAACCTGGTCCACCCTGGGTTTGGAGGAAAACAGCTTCACTGACAAAACCAGTCACCTAAAACTCAGGAAAAAGCCCAGCGAGACACCTGGGAGCAGAGATCAGGGTGACTGGAAGAGCTCCAGCCCCAGAGGAGGCAGTACTTACACACAGTTTCTAGCAGCCAGGTCTTTGTGGATGACCTCCCGTCTGGCCAAGTAGCTCATTCCACAGGCAATCTGGATGGCCATATGGACGAGGTCCTGCTGGGAAATGGCCTGCAAGAGCCCACACAGAACAGCAATCACTGCCAGCCCAGTGCCTGCAGGGTCAGAGGGTGTGCTGCAGTGCCCCTCCCCTCCCCTTCAGTGCCTGATGCCTTCTAGTCCCTACAGATCTGAGGGACACTCAGGAAAACCCCTTATTCTAAATTTTCCCTCCTTTTTCTGACATTCCAAGGGCAAATGTTTCCAAGTTGCACCTGCTTTTCCTTTGATTAGAGGTGAACACAGGTAAAAGTGGTCGATTTTACCCTTCTTACCACACTTTTTTCACTTCATCTCCCTGAAAACCAGCTCATTTCCAGGCAGGAGCACAAACAGTCCCAGTCCTTGTTGCTCTCTACTGCTGAAAACCAGTAGCCAGTGCTGTTGCTCCAGCTCCCTTTGCAACTTCACAGTCCTACCTAAATTAAAATCTTACACATATTTATAGCTTGCCTTCCCTCTTCCACTTCTATAGTGTTTCAGGAACCTGAGGATGTGGGGAACACACTGAAGCTGCAAGACCAGGGTTAAAATAAACCAAATATTACATTAAAATGATAATAAAGTGGCTAGTTTGAAATTTGGTACGTAACAGGAAGAAATTCTCACCTTGGGATTTCATTTTGTGCCTGATTTAGTCTAAAGAATCCAAACCAAGGTGAAGTTGAAAACAAGGTAATTCTAACCAGAGGGATAGTTTTACTATATATACACATCCAGTACTAAAAGATAATTCAAAATATTAAAAACAAGCATATTTTCTTTCAGGAAATATATGCCACAGGTCCCATGGAAACACAGCAAAGTTATTAATGCTAAAGAGCACCCACAGCAATTAAAAAAAAAATAAATCAGAGATTGCTTCCCTTATCTAAAGTTCAATAAATCCAGTTATTTGACTAACAAAGAACTACAGTAATTAAAGGGAATGTTAATTACACCAAAACTAAAATCAGAAAATCTGAAATTCCTCCAGACAGGATTTCCCCTAATTTAAATCCACAATCAGACACTATTTTCTCTATTTTTTAGGATAATTTGAAGATGCACTGATATACCACTGATATACTAGTCAGAGGTCTCTCAGCCTCATGCTGATAAACACAGCCAGGAACGCTTTCCTAGTATGGATCAAGGCCAACACTTGCTGGGGAACCTCTTCTGCAGGTCACACCAATGCCACAACTATTCCTTTGAAGGCACAAACACGGGTGACAGACCAAATCCAGGCTTAATGGGCACGAATTCCCAGATTCCTGGGTGTACCTGAGGGTTGTTGGCCTCCACCAACTTGCACTGTCGCAGGAAGAGTTTAAGGTTCCCCCAGTTCATGTATGGCAGCAGCACCATTGGTTTCTCTCCCTCTTCTATACAGACATGGGTGATAGGCAGCAGATTCCTGCAAGACAGAAAAATTCCTCATTTTATGGAACTGAAATCTGGTAAAAAATATTTCTGATCCCTAAACACAGTAACTGAAATTAATTCAGTGTTGAAGAACAGCATTTAATCTTGTATTATGAACTCCTGAGCACAACATGCCCAAATAATTGAAGCCCTAGACATTACTCTTCTTAATAAATTTGATTACCTTCCCATTAGGAAAGAACCCTCCAAATTTTTTCCATTTGGTCCAAAAGGGCTGAAATAAATTGCTGTGAATATAGGTTATCATTTGGACTCCAAAGTGATATATCCTCAGCTGGGAAGTGTATAATTCTAAAGGCAACTACAGACACAGAATATACAGTTCCCTTACAGTAGTTTAACCAAAAAAAAAAAAGTCAAAACATCATGTTTGATCCACTGCAAAGTGACAGAACAGAAAAATGTAGTTTTGAATCAGCTAAGCATCAAATTGTATTCTAACTACACAAACAGTTTTAGAACCAGGGAATCATTTAAGTTAGAAAAGACCTTTAACCCAGTTCTGCCAAGGTCACCACTAAACCACTTTAAATGTCCCTTCCAACCCTCTTATGGCCCAGGTAACTCCCATGCTGTGGTGTTTCTAAACATCTCCCTGTAGTATCATTCTATAAATATAAATAGATCAATATATAAATATATATAATAATATATAAATATCAATATATACATTCATAGGAAACTGAACCAAACTGGACAGAGTTTCAAATTTCCATCAATCACTTTTTTAAACACCTGTATTTCCTATTTAAAACTTGTTAGTAAAAGTCTCCAAAGAGATATGATGATTTTTAAAAGGGAATTTTGAAGTTTCTTGCTCTTACCTGAAGGCGTCTGACAGTCAGGTGTCACACCCATGAGCTCTACAGACCCGTGAAGGTCCCAGCTTTATGGGCAGTGTAGACAAGAAAAGCTTTTTGAACTTTTAAAAAATAGTTTGACTTACAAAAGGGAGGACAACAGCTCAGTCTGAATGATGAGAGAGGAGGGTTGGGTCATTTTGGTTCAATTTTTAAGTATGATTCCCCAAGAACCTGCTACTGCTCTTAATACAATCCTGTTTTTTAGGCAAGGCTGGGAGAGCTGTGGGCATTCAGACTGGAGAAGAGAAGGCTCCAGGGAGACCTGAGAGCCCCTTCCAGTGCCTAAAGGGGCTCCAGGAGAGCTGGAGAGGGACTTTGGACAAGTGCCTGCAGGAATAGGATGAGAGAGAATGGCTTCCCACTGCCAGAGGGCAGGATTTGATGGGATATTGGGAAGAAATTCTTCCCTGGGAGGGTGGGGAGGCCCTGGCACAGGTTGCCCAGAGAAGCTGTGGCTGCCCCTGGATCCCTGGCAGTGTCCAAGGCCAGGTTGGACGGGGTTTGGAGCAACCTGGGCTAGTGGAAGGTGTCCCTGCCCATGGCAGGTGGTGGCACTGGATGGGCTTTAAGGTCCCTTCCAATCCAAACCAGTCTGGGATTCCACGATCCTACAAAAGTCTCACTGAATTCTAAACAAACAGTTCCCTTTCCCCCCTCAGGGAGTTTTAGCTTTAGCACAGGGATTTCCAGCTCCCAGGGACAGTTCTGTCACACCCCTTGCCTGCCTTACCTGTGGTGAAGTCCTCGGAGTTTGCAGCTCTCAGTCAGCATCATTGTCACCTGCACCTCCGAGGCCTGATCTAGGGGGAAAAGGGAACCACAGACACAGCCTTGGAATCAAACCAACACATCCATTACAATTCACTCCACGTTTTCAAGTCACTTGAGGTCACTGGAGCACAAACAGAACTTGTTTGCCTCCCTTTTTAAAATGGAATTTAAAAAGCCCCATGTGAGTAAGCCAAGTTCTGAGGGTTGTTTCTGCTTGAACGAGTGGGGTGACGCCGAGAAGGGAAACAAGCCACACTCCAGGTGCTGACAGGCTGTATTTTTGCCACTTCCTGACAGCTTCTGGGCAGGCACAGCTGCCTGCACTGGGCACTGTGGGGCACATCCTGCCCAGGCGCCAGGGCTGGTGGAAGCAGGGCCCATGCCACGTGTTTCCCAAACGTGGATGTGCTCTGAGGACACTGCTTTGCTGCTCAGTTACCAGCACAGGTGTCTGCAGTTCACAGCCACACTGCTGGAGACCATTGATTTCTAGGTTTACTTATTTCCTTGCTCTCTGCTCTGCCCACTTGACTCTTGGTAACCTTAGAGCTTTGGTGTTTCCTTCTCCACCTTTAAAAATAAATAAATAAATAAATCAAATCCCTGCTGCCAGCTAAAATTCAGGCATCTGTGGTAACTCCAACGACCCATGGCAATGGGCAGAACACCTCCATCCAGTGGGCAGAAGCACAAGTGGTGCCTGCAACCCCTTCCCCACCAATATTTGTGTATTTGGGGCTTTTTCCCCTCTCAGGTGGTAAGAACCTACAGGGAAGCTTAAGGTGACGTAAATAAGAGCTCTCCCAATCCCACCCTCCTCATTCCTGGGTGCATTTTCCATCCCTCCCTCGTGCTGGGACTAGTCCTGGTGTGCCTTGGCAGGAAGCTGGCACAGGAGAGCCCAGCTCAGCCTCATCAGCTTTCCCTGCTGCTTTAAGGGGGGGATTTACATACTGCCCATGATTCAAGCCAAGATTTTACTGCCCTGGGAGGAAGAAGAGGCAAGAACTCATCTGCTCTTCTTTTCATTCTCCATGGTCTGAGCCTGCTCCCTGTGCAGCCCTGACACCCCTTCCTAACTGAGCCTGAACCCTGCAAGGGAAAACATGACTTGGGCTGAGTTTTGAGTGATGTGGGAGCTCTAGAAAAGCCCAGAGAGAGGTGCCATTAAATTAGTGACAATTATGGCTGCAGTATATTATGGGATGCATCAACCAGTGCATTTGGACTCCTCACAACAAAAAAGACACTGAGGGGCTGGAGCATGTGCAGGGAAGGGAATGCAGCTGGGAAGGGGCTGAGGGAGCTGGGGGGGCTCAGCTGGAGAAAAGGAGGCTCAGGGGGGACCTTCTGGCTCTGCAACTCCCTGACAGGAGGGGAGAGACGGGGGGGTCGGGCTCTGCTCCCAGGGAACAAGGGACAGGAGGAGAGGGAATGGCCTCAGGCTGTGCCAGGGGAGGGTCAGATTGGATACTGGGGAATATTTCTTGATGGAAAGGGCTGTCCAGCTCTGGCACAGACACCCAGGGCAATGGTGGAGTCCTCATCCCTGGAGGGATTTAAAAGCCATGTGGATGTGGCACTTGGGGACATGGGATAGTAGTGGCCTTGGCAGTGCTGGGGGAGCAGTTGGACTCAATGGTCTTAGAGGGCTTTTCCAAACTAAACCACTTCATTATTCCCTTGTATTTGATAACAATTCCATATGGGGGGATGGTATGTACAAACTCTTGCAGTGCAGGAGACATTTAAGCCACCACCAGCTGAAGCCTCTGGTTTGCACTCCAACACAGAGACATGACAGGTTTGCTGTGTGATTAATTTGAGATGCAGGAGAGAGACTGCAAAGGGCTTGGAAACAAGTAAGAAAAACCGAGATAGTGCATTAAATGATACAGGCCTGAATGCTGAATCAGCCAACTGTTCTAAAGCATTAAAAATGGAGAGGTAAAAGCAGATTGTGAGAGGTCAGAGGAGCAGGTTACCAGCACAGAGCTCCAGGTGTAAATGCATTAATTACAGGACTCAAAGACCTCAACCTCTTCAACCCAGCACATGACAAGGGAGGAAAGCGATTCCTGGGTGTGAGTTCAAGCTGATTAACCCACTCATGCACTCTCTGGACCTGCGCTTGTTGAACTGGTTTGCTTTTAATTATAAGAGCCACCAAGTAATAATTTGAAGCTTTAAATCAGAGATTATTTAAGAGTGGATTTAACATCTACAGAACGAGTCGAGCTGCTTTGGACAATGCACCTACTCATCTCTTCACGGTAACTCTGTCAGGGATGACACTCTCCTGTCACTGCCTTTCCCTTTCCAGCACTCAGGGAGGTTTCCAGCAGGTCACTGTGATGTTCTGGTGCTTTCTTTCCACCTTATAGTGGTTGAGCACCCAAAGGGACAATTGACTCCCAGTCAAGTATATACGGAAATCAAAATCTTATCTCGTGAAACAGTCTCAGCATCTGTATTGTGTTTGCTTATCAATATTATTTCCTTGTTTTCTGCATGGAAAAAAGACTTACCCAACACCAACAAATTCAACAGACCCAGAATAAACAATAGCAGTACAAGGCTGAGACCAATGCCAATTAAGTACCACCACACAATTCAACTGTTGTTGGTTTGTACTCAGTATAATTCAAAACAGAATGTAAATCACCTCTTTGAGTGATTCTAGTCAAAAGGGGGAAAAATACCACCACAATACTACTGCAACAGTCCCCATAGCAGTCAGACTTCCTTTTAAGGCCACTGTCATCAGTTACACAAGAAAAAGTTCATTTAACTTTTCATTTAACTCTGCCTCATTTAATAGGCTATAACCACAGCTGAGCATCCAGCAGTCAGGTCTTCACAGATCAGGGTGAAGGTGATTTTGGCAGTAATACATTTTTTTGTGAGGACCTGGTGAATCTGACCATCATGTATGAAAACCCTTCAGATCAATCCAGGAAACCCACAGCATTTCTGGCTGATAGGTGAAATAGGAGTCCCAGAGCAATTCCAGCTTGGTGAGATGTTTTTACGAGGCCATTCTGGGACGAATCTTCCAGATTTCATCCTCCTGCCTGGGCCAAAGTATCACCCTGTACTAAAACCAGGCATTAGATCTCTGAGCAATCCATGTGGGCATTGTCTGTGCCCCCACACAGGTGAGAGCTGGGGAAGGATCCTGTCAAACCCACGGAATGCCCACGGGCTCCGGCGGCTCCTTTGTCTGCACCGGATCCATGAAGTCATTTGATATGAGCACAGCCACACACGTAGCTGGAGAGGGGGAACAGGGGGAGAGCCTCCCACAGAGCCAGGAACCTCTGAAGTTAGAACAGCTACTTGAAGAAACAACTGAGGTCACAGGCTCCCATGCATTAAATTTGGGCACCAGGAAACAGCCCTGAATTTAAGCTGAACTCTCCAGGGCAAGGCAACAAGGGCTTGGTGCACAACTTCCTCAAAGCCCTGATAAGAGTTGAAGTCTGACAGATTACCATTATTTGTGATTAAGAATATGTCAGAGCTCAGCAATTCATGCAGTTGCAGCTGGATGATGATGAGGTGCAGCCTGGTTTTCACAAGGTGATCACACATCAGTAGCTGAGTACATGAAGAGCAGAGATTTCAGGTGAGTTAAGAGGAAGATTTAACACCCAGTGGCAATTATAGATGTTCAATTAGGACCAAAAAGGTCCAACTTTCAGAAGGTGCTTAAAACCAAGACTATTTGAGATAGATATAAACACATTCCAGAGAGGAGGATGCCCTCAAAGCCCTGGTTTCACCCTTTCTGGGCCTGGTTTTACCTTTTGCCAAGGCCCAGAGCAAGAACAAGGCAGGATTTCAAGCAGCTTTCATAGAGCTGCAGGTTTATCTCATGATATCACAGTATTTGTATGCAGCCAGGCACAATGGGACTCCTGGCACTGCTATTTTTGGAGAAGAGGCTAATCCCTCTGTGCTGGGATGTGCTGGGGCCCTGCCTGGCTCACGGGGAGAAAGAATCTACTTGATTTTTACCAACTTCTCCACGACACCAAAACTGAACTAAGTCAACCCAGAGTCCTTTCACAGCCTGCTAAAGGCAGGAACAGCAGATTCCCTCAGCACTCCTATCAGCAGCAGCTCTGCAAACACAACAGCCAGGAACTCCAAGGCTTCTAACAAACACATTTCCCAACAGCAAGATTCAAAAAGATGTTTTACCTGCAGCTTTTCCCACCTTTGGACCATTTGTAATGGTTTGTTCCCAAGGGAACTTCCTTCTGTCTCATACTGAAAGCTTATACTCTCCCTCACCACAGCACTTGTACAGCCCATTTTCCACACAACTGCCTGTTCTCACGAGCTTCTATAACCCTTATTCTCTTCCAGCCCTGGGGGCTTTGCCCAATATCCTGTGACAAAGCCCAGGAGCTCTGGTTCTTTAAGGGTGACAGGCACAGAGGTCACAGAGTGTGTCCACAGAACAGCTCCAGGTGGTAAATGCTCCCTGTATCAACACATCCTTCTTAATTACTGATGCTTCTGCACAGCAATTAATTAGGTAAAACTGCTCCCAGGCAGAATTGAGCCCCAGTTCAAAGGGAACACGTGCCTGGGTACTGCTTTAACCCTTCTACTAGAGTCTTTGGGAGAAGTTCAACCCTCCAAGACTATCCTGTGCTCACATCTGTTGCACAGGACATTTTTAGTGCTGCTACCAGGTATTTTCCCAGCTTCCCTTCACTACAAGGATGTACTGCTAAAGGAATGCAAGCAGTCAGGATCCAACCTGCTTTTGCACAGGCAGAAGGGAAAAGGACATACAGAAAAATATTTCTGCTTTAAAATTTCCAGAGGCCCCAGGAGTCAGATAGGGACACGGGACCATGGAAGCCAATGGCACATCCCTGGCTTCCTGCCTGCCTCTGGAGTGAAGGAAAAAAATTCCCTGCTAAAATAGGGAATGTTGTTCTGTTTTCCCTACATTACAAATGCTCACACAGTTCTAAAAGGGCAGAGAAAAGCAGGATTTGGGGATGGTCTT